TTAAAATTCACTTTGCTGTGAAGTTCTGCAAGTTTTGATAAACGTATAACATTCACATATCAATTTTTTTCTTTTTTCAGTACTTGGGCTTAAACTCAGGGCCTGCACCTTGAGCTACTCCACCAGGCCTTTTTTGTGAAGAATTTTTTCAAGATAGGGTCTTGAACTATTTGCCCAGGCTGGCTTCAAACCTCATGATCTCTGCCTTTTGAGAAGCTAGGATTATAGACTTGAGCCACCGGCACCTGGCCTCATACCCATTTGTTTAAGACCTTTTTCATGTTGTCTTGCCTGGAATATTTTTCCCATGGCTAGCCCCTTATTTTTCATTTTTATTTCCTTGAGGGAGGCCTTGAACATCACATCAGAAGAACTCTCAGAACAAAAAGTTCTGTTCGTTTATTCTGAGTATGTGTGTGGTTTGTTTTGGTCAGTCTCCTTCTAGAAGGATGCGAATTTACTAAAAGCAGGTACTATATCTATAACTGGAATTTCTTGAATACTGAGTCAGTAAATATATGTTGACATATAAATGAATAATCCTGTCCTAGGAGTGTCTAGCCTGCTGCTTTTAATACTAATTAGTAGTGATTGAAAGCAGGTTTGTTCTGTTGGACTGGGCTTCCTGCTTACCTGCCTCATTACTTTCAAAAGGGTTTTGCCTACAAGTTAGGTTAAGTGTTCAGTATGTTGAAGATGTTCTCTTCTACAGTGTTTGTAATTTTTTTAAAGTTATTTTAATAAGAGACTTAAAATAGCTGTTCCAGGGCTGGGGATGTAGCATAGGGATAGAGTGTTTGCCTAGCATGCACAGGACCCTGAGTTGGATCTCTATTTCCACAAAAACAAAAAATTTCTGCTTAGAATTGTACATTAATAAATGGATTTCCCAGCCAGGCTGAACATTAGAATCAGCTGAAGAACTTATTAAAAAAAAAATTGCTTCCTAGACTCTTTCCCTAACTAAAAAGATTCTACAATCTGTATTTTGGGGCTGGGAACATGGATTAAGTACTACAGTGCCTGCAGAGCAAGCACAAGGCCTTGAGTTTAAACTTGATCACCAGTAAAAGCAAACAAACGACAACAAAACTCCACGTACTTACTCCTTTTTGTGGTGCTGAGGACCAAACCCAGTGTCTCTTATATACAGGACAAACACTCTACCACTGAGCTACACATTCCTAGTCCTACAAATTTGTGTTTTTAACAACTGGCCTGGCATCATCAGAACATTTTGAATTTAAAAACCCTAGTGGGACTGTGGGGTGTAGCTCAGTGGTAGAGTGCCTGCCTAGCATGCATGAAGCCACAGCACCACCCACAGCACCACAATACCAGTCAAACAAACCCAGTGTGTTGATGTGCAGAGAGATTTTGACATGCTTTCTAGAGGGCTTCAGCTTATTGCTATGGTTATTGAAGCTTATCCAAAAAGATCTTTTAACTTGGACTTTTCTATAACTATTTAAAGCCCTTACTGTGTGCTAAGATGCTTGCAGACATTACAGGTGAGCAGAAGACATTACCCTCAAGGAACCTGCGCTCTCTGAGAAGGCAGTGGAATGAATGTAAATAATCGTAATAGAAGATAGAAAACATAAAGTTGTTTTCTAAAATAAAGCTAAATGTTTGTTTGTTTGTTTATTTAATGGTATTGGAGCTTGAACTCAGGACAGCTTGAACCACTCCACCAGCCCTTTTTTGTGATGGATTTTTTCAAGATAGGGACTTTCGAACTCTTTGCCCAGGCTGATTTCCAACTGTGATCGATCCTCCTGATCTCTGCCTTCTGAATAGCTAGGATTATAGGTGTGAGCCACCAGCACCTGGCTCAGTGAAGGGAATGGTCATTCACACCTGAGAAGGTAAAATTAAGAGTCTAATTCTTAGAATCCACAGTGAGAAGGAATTAACTTGGACATCCTAGTCCTTTTATTGATGTGTAATGTAGGAAATTGGAAGTCATGGGAGGCCTGGTACAAACCAGAAGGCAATTGGCAAAATGAAAATAAGCCTGGAATGTCAGGAACTAAAATCCAAACTGTTGGAGCTCTCAAAACTATTGGTTCTTTTTAAATTTTTTTATTATATTATTGTGGTACTGGGGCACATTGTGATATTTGCAAAAGTTCTTATGTCATAGTGGAATTTACCCCCTCCATCATTCTCCTTTATCCTTTCTCCCCCCCAAATCCTGGAATAGTTTCAGCATGTCTCATTTTTGCATTTCCGTACATGAGTACATAATATTTTCACCATATTCACCCTCCTTCACCCTTTCCTTTTGTCTCCCACTGGTGCCAACCCCCAGACGGGACCTGTTTCCTATTCTCCATTTTTGAAAAAAGCCATTTTGTTTGTTTAAGATACCTTTAAGACATTTAAGATAGTTTAAGACATTTCCATGTATATATGTATTATAACCAAAATTGGTTCATGCACTTTGTTTTTCTCCTTTCTACCTTAGTCCCCTTCTTATAGTGATTTTACCAAGTTTAAAATTTCTATATTCATTCTTGTAAAAAAACTACATTACCCATATTCACCTTCTTAACTTCCTTCTTTAATTTTCCCTTCTTTCATTAGTGACCTTTCCTTAGCATGACCTGTTTTTCATAACACTGCTTGTATTTATGTTGTGTCTATCTCCCACATGTGAGAGAAAACATGCAGCCTTTGTCTTTCTGAGCCTGTCCTTCAATTGCATCCATTGACCTTCAAACCACATAGTTTCATTCTTCTTTATGGCTGAATAAAACTATTTTGTGTGTGTGTGTGTGTGTGTGTGTGTGTGTGTGTGTATGTGTGTGTATCACATTTTCTTAATCCATTCATCAGTTATAGGGCATCTGGGTTGTTTCCATAGCTTCTCTATTAGGAACAGTGTTGCAGTAAATAAACATTGGTGTACAAATGTCTTTATTATGTCTTAACTTACATTCTTTTGGGTATATCCCTAAGAGTGGTACTGCTGGATCATGTGGCAGTTCTATTTTTAGTTTTTTGAAGAGCCTCCACACTGTTTTCCCTAGTGGTTGTAGTAATTTACACTTCTATCAAGAGTGAGGTGGAATCTTTTTTTTTTTTTTTTTTTTTTTTTTTGTGGTACTGGAGTTTGAACTCAGGGCCTACACCTTGAATTAGTCCATCAGCCCTTTTATGTGATGAGTTTCAAGACAGGGTTTCGAGAACTATTTGCCTGGGCTGGCTTGTAACTGTGATCCTCTTGTTCTCTACCTTCTGAGTAGCTAGGATTACAGGCTACCAGTGCCCAACCAGTGAGGTGGAATCGTGGTTTTGATTTGCATTTCCTTTATGGCCAGGGATGTTGAACATTTCTTCATGTGTTTTTTAAGCCATTTGGACTTCTTCCTTTGAAAAAGCTCTGTTGAGTATATTTGCGCATTTCTTCATTGGGTCATTGATTTTCTGAGAATTCAATTTTTTGAGCTCTGTGTATATTCTGGTTACTAATCCCTTGTCAGATGTGTAGCTGTCATAGCCACTGGTTCTTAACAGAGCTGTAGACCTCTTCACAACTTTTCTTATTTCTCAATTTTTTCCGATACTGGAGTTTGAACTCAGCTTCACACTTGATAGGTAGGCACTCTACCACTTGAGCTATGCCTCTCGCCTTGGGGTAACTATAGAAATACTTGAATGCCAAGCTAAAGATTTTGGAATTTGTTAACCAGTGAACTGAAACATTTTGGGCAGAGAAGTAAGCATCACATACACACACGCACATGCACTCGCACAGTTGACTTGAGGAATTATGAAAGGCTGTTTAAATTTTTGGGCTATCAGGCAGAGATCGGGAGGTCATTATTTGAGGTCAGCCCAGGCCAAAAAAAAAAAGTTGTTAAGACCCCATCTCAACCAGTAAAAGCTGGGCATGGTGGGGCATGGTGTCATCCCAGCTATGTGGGAAACTTAAATGGGAGGATCACAGTCCAGGCCAGCCCTATTGGAAAAATACTTACAGAAACAGGGCTGGGGAGGAGTGCAAGTGGTAAAGCACCTGCCCAACAAACTCAGGGTTTGAGCCCTGAGTTCAAACCCCAGTATCTCTCTCACACATACAATAGAGTATTGGACTGGTGTTGTGGAGATGTGGTTAGATGTGAAATAAAATAGATGAACTGTCAGAAATTGATTACTGATGAAGTGTGGAGTTCCAAAATGTAGTTGAGGTTCTCAGTGCCATTTTTGGATATTTTGAAGAGGTGAGAACAGAGAGGCTGAACAGAGAGAGTGGTTTAAAAGTATGGATTTGAGATATTAGTGTCTTATCTATATGGAAATGTTGTCTAGGCTATTGGAAATGTGCTAGTAAGTTTTGGAAGAAATGGTGGGTCCAGATATTAAATTAGAAATCTTATATATAGATGACTGGTGATTCCATGAGGTTGAGGAAGAAGAAGGTGGAGAGATGGAAATAGACATTCTCAGGGAAATTCCTACATTTAGAGGGATAGACAAAGAGCAGCCAGAGACACTTTCATCAGAAACTAGGTGGAACCTTGGAGCAACCTGAGGAGAGGGAAAGGGAGAACATGTACATTTCTGACTTTTTCATAAAGTTTTCCATAGTTCATATAAGCTATGTTATATATTGATAGATCAAATGACATAAATTAAGGAAAGGCATTGCATTTTGCAAGAAAGCTGCATTACATCATTATATATTACAGTCAAGATAATTGTTTTGCATTAAAGATTGTAAACTTTTTAACTTTAATTGGAGAGAATGTTGATTTTAATCATTAATACTCTTTTCCTGAAAGCCTTCAAGTTTAAAAAGGAATTTAGCAGTTTTAAAAATTGTAAACAAGTCTAGAATAGTTGGCTGAATCATGAAGTTTCACCATAATTTAACATCTACCTTTAGCACTATTTAGCCTTATTCATTAAAGATTCCGGTAGAGGTAAAAATACCCACTTAAGTACTGTTGTTTTTTCCCTAAGTAACTTTTTGTTTTTATCCCTTTTTTCAGGATCTTACTGGCATAGAATCTATGGATCAGTGTCGCCATACATTGGAACAGCATAACTGGAACATAGAGGTATAACAGGATTCATTCTAAGGTTATTTTTTTTCTCCATTCTGATAATAAAGAATGAAAAACATACATCTTTCCACAGGAGGAGTGTTTTTCTACAGTAGACTTCTTTTCAGCCTTATGACTTCTTATTAATCTTAAAAATGAAAGTATGAGGCCAGGCGCTGATGGCTCACCCTGTAATTCTAGTTACTCAGGAGGCAGAAATCAGTAGGATCATGGTTCAGAGCCAGCCTGGGCAAATAGTTTGAGAGACCCTATCTTGAAAAAACTCATCACAAAAAAAGGCTGGTGGAGTGGCACAAGGTGTAGGCTCTGAGTTTAAGCCCCAGTACTACAAAAAAAGAGTACCCAACACAAAAAAGGGCTGGTGGAGTGATTCAAGTGGTAGAGCACCTGCTTAGCAAGTATGATGCCCTGAATTCCAACCCCAGTACTGCAATAAATAAATGAGAAAAGTAGAAAATGTGGTGAAAATTTATGAAATCTCAGAATAAATGGTAACCAAATCCCTTAATATACTGGCTCCCTTGTTTTTTCTCAATGGCTATTTGGGGAAGTAATTCAGTTTTTTTGTTTGTTTGTTTGGTTTTGGTTTATTCTTCAGGGTTTTCTAGGTAGTCATGTTATCTGCAGCTCATTGATTGTTTTCAATATGTGCGTTCTTTGCTTTTTTTTAACTTGGCCATGAAATTGATTAGCACTTTAGAAGAGTGTAGATTAATAATGATAGTAGCGGACATCTTGTCTTCTCTGTATGCCTCTAATGTTTATTGTCATTTATGATGTTAGTTGTTGCTTTGAGATAGATCCTAGAATTAAGCTCTGTGAGAGGTGAGATTTTGATGACTGCTATGATCCAAGCATAGAACACTGAACCTGGTACATCATAGTCTCTTAACAAAAATCTGTTGACTGTTCTTCCACTCTTAGTATATTAATAGTTTTATGTCAAGAGTATGTGCTGACTTTTATCAAATTCCTTTGATGTCTGCAATTAAGGGATATTACTTGAATCGAGAGCTGTATTTTTTTTTTTTAATTTTGAGAGGTGGATTTCTGATAACATTCCTTTTTTTTTCTTTTCTTTTTTTAATGGGTTTTTTTCAGGATATGATCTCGCAAACTATTTGCCCATGCTGGCTTTGAACTGCCATCTTCCTGATCTCTGACTCCTGAGTAACTAGGATTACAGCTGTGAGCCACCCTTGCCTGGCTTTTTTTTTTTTTTTTTTTGCTGTACTGGGTTTTGAACTAACTCCAGGGCCTTGTACGCTAGGCAAGTTTTCTCCACTTGAGCTACATCTCCAGCCCTTTTTACTTTAGTCATTTTTTTAGATAGTGTCTCATGCTTTTTCCCCTGAGCTGACATAGGCCTCTCGAATAGCTGGGATTATAGGCATGTACTACCATGACTGACCTCTACACATACATTTTTTAGGAATTAAATTCTAGGCTTTCCTGTGATACCAGCAAACAAGTCTAATAAGCTTCTGGTCTCAAGTTGCTTAATTGTAGGAAATTTGAGTTTGTAATAGTGGATAAGATGAGTATAGGAAGTGTAGCATGTTCTAGGAAATTTAAGTAGGGTGGTCTAGTAAGGCCTCTCTGAGGAGGGGATATTTGAGCCACTTAAGTATGATGTGTACATTTGGGGAAAATGCATCTTGGGCAGAGGAGATGGTGGTATTCTATATCTGCTTGTGCTTTTCTTGTTAAATTTTGATTTCAAGTGTTGTTGGCTTTATAAACTAACTTGATAAAGTGAGGCTTTCACTCCAAAATTCATAATCTGTTTTCTACAGTTTTTGTTTTTTTTTTTTTTTTTCTTTTTGGCAGTACAGTTGTTTGAACTCAGGGCCTCACGCTTGCTAGGCAGGTGCTCAGCCTGCACCACTTGAGCCACTGTGCCAGCCCTTATGTCTTTTTTTTTTTCTCCTATAAATCCACTAGGAAAATTAAGAATATCTTTCTTGATGCACTTTCTTACAAGACTCTTTTTTCCTTAGGGATTTTCTTTCTTTTTAATTTTTTTCCATTCTTTGCTTTTTTATCCTTCGGTGTTGGCATCAAATCCAGTGCTTCACACATGCCAGGCAAGTGTTCTACCACCATGTTTTGTTTTTAAGAAAGTATTTTAGCCAGGTGTGATAATCCAGAGGCAGAAGGATAACAGCATACATATGCATTTTACTTCTGTATTTCAGCACCATCATTTTTTCAATTTGGTTGATTTATTTGTAGTTTTTCTTGCATTTAAGAAAAACTCCAGTTTGAACTATGGTGGTTTTTTTTGTTTTATTTAACCTTTTCATATCTTGTCATTTTATCTCATATAGGTACTTATTAGATCTCTGATTTAATAATATCCCACTGACATTATAAAAACCTGTAAATGTATACATGTTCATCAGTTTTTTTGATGGTACTGTGATTTGAACTCAGGGCTTTGCATTTGTGAGGCTAGTGCTCTCCTATTTGAGCCAGGCCTCCTTAGTTAAAAATTAAATCAGCAGAAACTATAAAGGTAGCTGAGTATGGTGGTAAATGCCTGTGATCCCAGCACTGGGGAGGCTGAGCCAGTATAATTTTGACTTCCAATTTTGAGTTCCAGACCAGCCTGGGCTTCATGGTAAGAACCTCTCCCTCAAAAACAAACAAAAGGAAAGGGGGAAAAAAACACCATAGAGGTAAATGAAACAACTATGACTGTGTTCCTACTACCATCCAGCTCCTGACAATGCAATATTTTGTAATACTTTGTTTCAAATTTCTTTTGATCAAATATGGATAAAATGGAAGCCTTATATGACTTGCCTGCATGTCATCTGTTGTGTACACACATACATACACACAGCCTTTCTTTTTCTTCTTTCATGCATGTAACCACTACTGACTAATAGGTGTTTATCAAAGATTATATTTTTTGGGGGACAGTGGTTTTTATCTCCTTTATTTTTTTCCTGTTATTTAATGAGACATAAGGACTACTCGACATAATGACTTGAATGTGCTTTTATAGGTTTCTTTATTTCCCAAAGCTAATGTCTTGGTTTTTTTCTGATTACAAAAGAAGCATGCCTGTAAAAAGATTAAAACACAACTTTATTAAATTGAAATGAAAAAAGGTCTTGGTATTTTCATGAGATAGAAACATAGATGTTTTGATATATGTCCTCCCAAACTTTTTTTGGTTTTGGTGTGCCACTATTTATACACCTTTCCAGTGTTAATCACAAGTGCTACATCAAAGAGCATGCTTTATTTTTGTGCATGCTGTGAAAGGCAGTACATGATCCAAATAAAATACAAATTTTATACCAATTGGAGGAACATTTAAATAGTTTGATAGCATTGTATTTACAGATAAAGATACGTGGCTGTCAGAACTTTCTTGTAATTAATACTTTTTATTAATATTAGGATGTTTTATGTAGAAATCTAATTTGAGTTATTAATATTGCTACCCATACTTTATTGCTTTATTTCTGGTTTGCAATTATCTGGTTTAATGTTGGCTGTTCCTTTCACGCAAAATAACTTACTACAAGCTTGTTGCAAAAGTACCCATGCAAGTGCACACCCATACAGGCAAAGGGCTCCAAAAGGTGTAAAGTGAATGATCAGCCTTCATTGGACAGCTAGTGTTGGGTTTTAGTGTCTCCTTCAGGTTCTCTCTTTATTTCTATGACTGTGTGTATTCCTGTATACCTTTCCTACACATATGGGATTCTGATGTATTTACAGTATTTTCACTTCAGTCTATTTTAGTAACTCATAAAAATATTAAATAAAATACATCAAAATAATTATAGTTTTTAAAGAAAGCCTGTGGTGAAATATGAAAATAATCCCACTCATACTACTTGCCTACCACTCTTTTTCAGTCTTACTTCCCCAACATAGCTATATGAACAATTTCTTTTGATTATTTTCAGGTATTTTTATTTCTGTCTAAAATGTATGTTACATTTTTCTCTATAGAATAGTTTCTGTGCAGTAAAACAGAGTTTTGTTGTATTTGTAAGGTTATTCATTTTTTAAAGTTTATATATTAATGAAAACATTTTTATGAAAGACAAAGTATTTTTGCAAATCTCGTGAACATTTGACAATAGGAAACAATTAGATTTTTACATGTTTCTACCTTTAGTGTCTTTGTTTGTTTATTTGGATTTGTTTGTTTTCTGGTCTTTTGGCGGTATTTTGTTTTGCTTTTTTGAGAGGGTCTCACTGTATGGCCCGGGCAGGCACGGAACTCACTGTGTAGCCAGGCTGGCCTCAAACTCATGATCCTCCTTATTCAGTTTACTGAGTGCTGGGATTATAGGTGTGCACCACCACAATTTAGGAGGAATATTTCAGTAGCCTCTTCAGATAACTGGGTATCCCTCTTTGGTACTGTAGTAGTTTCTTAAAAGTTAGTTGTAATATGGAATTTGAAACTGCATGAATGAACTTTTCATCTATTACATTAAAATCTATTGATTTGTCTTGTACTTTGAAAGGCCACTCCTCCAGCCCTTTTTTGTGTTAGGTACTTTTGAGTTAAGGTCTCCGGAACATTTACCCTTGATCCTCCTGATCCCTGCCTCTGAGTAGCTAGGATTACAGGCATGAGCCACTGGCATCTGGATTTCATAGCTTTATGCATTAGACATTTGGAAAATACTGGTTAACTGAATTAATACAGGTTTTCCAAATGTTGATGCATTTTGCTCTCTAAAATCATTCACTAATGTACTACTAAACTCATCAGAAAAGCCTTAAAGCATTAAAAAACTGTCATGCTTACAGTGGCAAATAGAAAAATTCTGATTTTTGCCTGCAACCTCTACTTTTATAATTGACAATGCATTCTGTTACATATGGCTTTTAAAGTAAACCACTTGGGCTGGTGGAGTGGCCCAAGAGGTAAGAGCACCTGATAAGCAAGCATGAGACCTTGAGTTCAAACCCAAATATGCCCCCCCCCAAAAAAAAAAACCTACTTCATTGATACCTACCTCACATGCCATATAAATTAACTATTTGAAGTGAAATTCGGTGGTTCTTAGTATATTTACAGATTTGTGCAGCCAACAGTAGAATCAACTTTAAAACATTTTCCCTGGGCTCGGGTACAACTCAGTGGTAGAGCACTTGCCTAATGTGTGCTTTGTTCAGTCCCTAGTAACTAACACACACACACACAAGTATTTTAGATTGTTTAGAACATTAACCCCAAAAGAAACTCCAGACCCTTTAGCTAATTACTCTCCTACTTCCTCATTCCCCATCTCTCATCAGCCAGCAGGCTACTTTCTGTCTGTAGATTTCCCTTTTTTGCATTTTGATATAAACAGAATCAAAGATCTAAATGTAGTCTTTTGTGACTCATTCTTTTCACTTGAGGTAATGCATTCAGGGCTTATCGTGTTGTAGATGTATTAGTTATTAGTACTTTATTCCTTCTTAATGTCAAAAAATTTGGGGGGGGAGAGGGAGGGGGTGGGGGCAGGGAGGAGAAATGAACCAAGCCTTGTATGCACATATGAATAATAAAAGAAAAATGAAAAAAAAAAGTCAAAAAATACTCCCCTTGGGCTTGCCTAACATGCACGACCCCCGAGTTCCATCCCCAGCACTGGGAAGGGAAAAAAAGTTTGCTGATTTCTTTGCCAGTTGTGGGGTACAACACCAGTAATCCTTGTACTCGGGAGGTGAAGCAGGAGGATCTTGAATTCAAGGCCAGCTTTGCCTACAGTGAGACCCTATCTGGAAAAAAAATTCCCTTTAAGCTGGGGTTGAAGCCCAGTGGGTTCCACTAAAAGAAAAGAGGAGTGGACAGCAAGGGAAGGGAAGGAGGTAAGAAGGGACGGGGGAGGAAAGAAGGAAGGAATTAAGGAATTCCCTTGCATAGATACACCACATCTTAGTCCAGTCAGGCTGCTACAATAAAATACCAATATCAGGGTCACTTAATAAACAGAAATTTGTCATATTCCTGGCCAGAGACTGGAAAGTCCAACTGAATGTGCCAGTAGATTCATTGTGTAACGAGGGCTAGCTCTGGTTCATAGATGGCTCTTTTTTACTGTATTTCCACAAGGTGGAAGGGAAGGCAGCTCTCTGAATTCTCTCACTAATCCAGCTGAAGGTGTGTTCCAAGTGGTAGAGTGCTCGCTGCCTAGCAAGTGTGAAGCCCTGAGTTAAAACCTCAGTACTGCCCCCCACCCCCACCCTCACCCCCCAAAAAGAGAAAAAGACACTAATTCCATTCATGAAGTCTCAACTCTCCTAACTCCCAAAGGCCCTATTTGTTTTTGAGAACAGGCTGGCCTCAAACTGGGAATCCTCCTGCTCTAACCTCCTGAGTGCTGGGATTACAGTTATGTGCCTCTGTGTCAAATTGTTAATAGTTTCTGATACAGGAATTTTGGGGGCAAAGACATGCAGACCATAGAATCACAATATCTTCATTAATTATTGATAGCTAGTTGAGTGTTTCCACTTTTGACTATTATCAATATGTAGTGCAGTGAATATTTGGGTACACACTTTTGTAGGGTGGTATGTTTTCATGTGTATTAGTGGGATTTGCTGGGCCATATGGTAACTGTTTAACCTTTTGGAGAATAGACAGACTGTTTTCAAACTGATCACACCATTTTACACTCCACACCATCTTTCATGAAGGTCTCAGTTTTTCACTTTCGTACCAACAGTTGTTAAGATCTGTCTTCTAGATTATAGCTGTCCTAGTGGGTTTGAAGCAGTATCTCACTGAGGTCTGTCTTGTTTTGTTAAGTTTTGTTTTTGAAACAGAGTCTCACTGTATAGCCCAGGCTGGCCAAACTCGAGATCCTTCTGCCTCTGCTTCCCAAAGTGCTGGGATTACAAGCCTATGCTACCATACCCACCTTCATTTTGATTTTGATTTGCGTTTTCCTTCTAACTAAAGTGATGTTGAATTTTTTTGTTTGTGTTTTCATTGGACAATTTATAAATGTTCTTTGAAAATTTTTCTATTTATAAAATCCTATACCTTTCTTTCTTTTTTTTTTGTGTTACTGAGGCTTGAACTCAAGGCCTATACCTCGAGCTACTCCATTAGCTCTTTTTTGTGATGGGTTTTTTTCAAAATAGGGTTTCATGAACTGTTTGCCTGGTCTGGCTTCAAACTGTCATCTTCCTGATGTCTTCCTCCTGAGTAGCCAGGATTACAGGTATGAGCCACCAGCACCTGACTTTTTTTTTTTAACTGGGGTTTGAACTCAGGGCCTTGTGCTTACTACTAGGCCATAGTTCTACCACTTGAGACACACCCCAGTCTCTTTTTGCTTTTGTTATTTTTTAGATAGTATTGTGTGTGTGTGTGTGTGTGTGTGTTTGTATGTTTTGGGAGGGAACAGGACTGGGGTTTGAACTCGGAACTTTATGCTTGCAAAGCGGGCAAAACTCTTGAGGTACGCCTCCAGTCCATTTTGCTCTGGTTATTTTGGAGATGGGGCCTCTCGTACTATTTGCCTTGGCTGGCCTCAAACCCCAATCCTCCTGATCTCAGCCTCCAAAGTAGCTAAAATCTTCACTTTTGAAAGTCTTTAAGATTCAGGGAAAGCTATAATTTTTTGTCTTATGTTTAGGTCTTGATGTTTTATTTTTTTATGCTAGTATAAATTTAGGGATTCAACCTCTTTTACTTGTAGATGTCAAGTTATCTCAGCACCATTTGTTGAAAAGTTACTCCTTCTTATTGAATTATAAAACTAGGGGACTTCCTGAAATTAGTCAAACCATAAAGTTTAAAGCTAGCTATCAAGTGTAGAGGGCACGTGGCCCCTCTCAGAGACCACACTTACTTCTGACAACAAACTGCAACATCTAAGGATTTCACAGACCACCCTCAGGTTTGGTAGTTTGCTGGAAGAACTCACCGAAAGCTATTTCACTCATGGTTATGGTATATAACAGGAAACTGATGCACATTTAAATCAGCTGAAGGAAGAGACACACTGGGAAGAGTGTCAAATGGCTCCTTTTCCCATGGAGTCAATATGCCCAATCCTCCTGGCACAGAAGTGACAATATGCATGACATGTTGCCAGCCAGAGAAGCTTGCATGTTTGTTTTACTTTGTTTTATTGAAGTATTTATGAACTCATGCTGTTGCACTTGCTAGGCAGGTGCTCTGCCACTTGAGCTATGCCTCTGTCCCTTTTTTTTCTGTAGTTATTTCAGAAATAGGGTCTTGCTTTTTGCCCAGGCCAACCTGGACCATGATTCTCCTATTTTAAGCTTCCAACCATAGCTGGCATGCCACCATACACAGCGTTTTTCTAAGATGGGGTCTCATGAGCTTTTTTGCCTGGGCTGTCCTGAAACCACAGTTCTTGTACTCTCAGCCTCCTGTGTAGCTAGGATTACAGGCATTAGCCACCAGTACCTGGCTGCATCCTGAGCTTTTATTGGGGCTTCATTACATAGGCATGATTGATATTGATTTGATTGGCTGCCTCTGTGGTTTAATTCATTCTTCAAGTTGACTAATACCAAGTTACCCAAAGTCCTCACCCTAAATCATATGGTGGTCTTTCTGATGTCCAGTCTTGGCCCTATGATGACTGGATGAAGCAGCTCCAACTGTAATCCTGTAACACAAAAGGCACTGCTATCAGGTATGACATAGATTACTAAGAAGGCAGAGGCCAGGTGTATCTCTTTGGGTATGGTAAACATTTTTACTATACTGAGACCAGATAGCCATTTTCAAGAGTAGATTTGAGAAGAGAATGAGTTTTGTTTTTAAGTGAATATTAGCTGTGTACCAGAACTTGTATTAGACTGTTTATGTATGCATATCTCATTAAAATTTCAAACTAACCGTACCCTGTTATTGTTACTTTATTTTTGCACATGGGGACCTGAGGTTCATACACTGAGTAATTTTTCAAGTGATGGAGCTAAGGTTCAGACCTACACTTTTTTACACCAAAGCTCTCATCAGGGCTGCTGCATTACCCAACTCCAGAGGCACTGTCCACTTTGTGTTTTCTGTGGCCTGCTTTTCTTGACTGTACAGTAAAGCTCATTGTGCCCCAACCGCTCTAATGAAAGTAACTTGCTTGCTGCATAAAAGGGACTTCCAGATAAGTTCCCTGGTCTCTAACACGTGTGATTTGTGAATTCTCATTGCCTCTGATACAGCAGGTTGAAAAGTCCTTGATGATAAACCTGTCAGATTTCCTTTGTGTAACAGTCACCTTGTTTTGAGACACCAGGTCTCATCTCTTCTGGGTTGATTTAGTATCACTGAAATTCTTGCTGTTGTGTTTTCCTTCTCAGGCTGCTGTACAGGACAGACTAAATGAGCAGGAGGGTGTACCGAGTGTTTTCAACCCACCTCCATCCCGACCCCTACAGGTTAATACAGCTGACCACAGGATCTACAGCTATGTTGTCTCAAGACCACAACCAAGGGCAAGTTATTTGTAGCTGAAATTTACCACCTCTTTATATCATAAGCTTACTCACTTGCTTATGTTGATCTCTGTATGATAGGAACGAGAAAGATATTCAGAACGTAAGCCTGTTACCTAGACCTAAGTGAACCCTTGGTAGATTTAGTAGATACACCAGTTTCCCTTGATTTCTATTCTTTCATTTTTTTTTTTTTTAATTTCTTTTTGGTGATACTGGGATTTGAACTCAGGGTCTCTCCCTTGCTAGGCAGGGGTCTACCACTTGAGCCATGCCTCCACCCTTTTTTATTTTGGTTATTTTTGAGATTGGATCTCACTTTTACCTGGCCCAGCCTGGACCTCCCGTTTGTGCTTCCTTTGTAAGCGCTGGGATAGAGGTGCATGCCACTACATCCATCCATTGATTGAAATGAACTTTTTGCACAGGCTGTCCTCAAATCTCAGTCCTCCCAATCTCTGTCACCTGTCTTTGAGGGTTTTGTTTGTTTGCCAGTTATTTGGAGTGTTTTCTGAGCCTTTTTTGAGTACCTGGATAGGTTCACTGACATATCTAAAAATGCTTGCTGTGGGTTTAATAGAGCTTCCACTTCTTAATGAGAATTTGTTGACTGAGTTCTTCAATGCTTCAGTTTACTTCAATTTAGCTACTTTTAAGGAAGTACCTGAAATCTTTTAGTGCCCTCTGCCACATCTTTGAACTTGGTCTTAAAGTGCTGGTAGTAAAGAGGTAGTTAAATTAAATTTAGCAAGCATTTAAGAGTGCACTTGACTGGGCACCAGTGGCTCACTCGTGTAATCCTAGCTACTCAGGAGGCTAATGGGCAAATAGTTAAATGAAAATACCCATCACAAAACAGGACTAGCAGAGTGGCTCAAGTGGTAGAGTGCCTGCCTAGCAAGCCTGAGACCCTGAGTTCAAACCCCAGTACTGCCAAAAAAATGTGCACTAGTAACCTGGTATTTTACTAACACTAGAGATGGATAAAAAACTAGTCTAGTCTTCCTATTCCTCCTCCTCCTTCCTTTTTTTTTTTTTTGGTGGTGTTAAAATGGGTTCCACAGGCTGCCCTCATTCCCAAGCCTCCAGCCTTAGCCTCTCTATTTGAAATTTAATTTTCACAATCTAGTTAAGGAAGTCAGATATATATGCTGATAATGAACTCCAAAGAACTTCTTGTTTCTCTTCCTTAATCCATACTCAATCTTATACTTACCTCTTATACTTGTATTTAGAATCCTAAGAAAATACTTTTTTAACCACGGAGCACTTACAATGTATTCCATCATCATACTTTTTTTTTTTTTTTTTTTTTGAATACTTGATGTTTTTAAAATGGAGCTTTTTGGTGTTTTTTTTTGTTTGTTTGTTTGTTTTTATGTAGTACTGGGGTTTGAACTCAGGGCTTCATGCTTGCTAGGCAGGCACTCTACCTGTCTGCCAGCCATGTTTTGTGTTGGGTATTTTTGAGATAGGGTCTTGAGAACTATTTGCCAGGCTGGCTTTGAACTGAGATCCTCCTGATCTCTGCCTCTGGAGTAGCTAGGATTACAGACATGAGTGCCTAGCCTAAACCTGGAGCTTAATTTGAGGCAGGAGGATCACAAATTTGAGGCCAGCCTGAGCGACATATGGACATTCCCCATCTGTAAATAAATAACCTAGTTAGTTAATTTAAATAAAGTTTAAGTCCATAGCTCACTCTGTCCTTGCAGGATTTGTTCCAAGCTCCCCAGTAAATGCCTGAAACTCCAGTGGTTCCAAACCTTTTAATTTAATGCCTTTTCCATCTTAGCTAAGCATGTGATCACATGCTGTGACTGTAACTTTTTCAGTTTGAGATGCAGCAGCAAAACTAGCACACAATTCTTTTCCCTTAACAACTTAATGAATGAAAGATTTGTTTATGCTGTAGAACTTAGCAACCTCAGCATACAATTTTTTTCTTTCCTTAAAGTGAGAATTTTTACTTAAAGAAAGGATTTTTTGGTTTTTCTTTGGCATATTTGATTTACCAACATAACTACTTCAGTGTCTTGGAGCCATTTTTAAGTAAAGTAGGGGTTACTTGCAATGCAGTACCTTGACAGTTGATGTGATAAATGAAACAACTACTACTAAATGACTGATGGACAGGTATTTTACACAGTGTGCTGGACAAAGGAATGGTTCATGTCCTGGGTAGGAAGGGACAGAATGGCAGAAGATTTCATCACTCTAGTCAGAACAGTGTGCAGTTTAAAACTTAAGAGGTGTTTATTTCTGGAATTTTCCATTTAATATTTTCAGACCTCAGTTGACTGCAGGTAACTAAAATTACAGAAATGAAACCACAGGAAAAGGGAGAAGGAGGGCCTACTCAAGTTGTTTTGGGATATTCTGAAGTAGCAGAGTACACATTCTTGGAGCTTCTGTATATGTACTTGTGTGTGAGTGTGTGTGTGTGTGTGTGTCTGTGTGTGTGTGTGTGTCTGTGTGTGTGTGTGTGTGTCTGTGTGTGTGTGTGTGTGTGTGTGTGTGTGTGTGTGTGTGTGTTTCCTGGAATTTGAACTCCGGATCTCATACCTGCTAGACCGGCGCTCTACCACTTGAGCCACTCCACCAGCCCAGGCAGTGCTTCTGTATATGCCCAGTGTTTCCTTACCTTGCTTTGGGCTCCACTTGGTATGTGAGAACCTAATGTCAGTGGCCTTGGTGCTCCAGAGTGCCCTGGCCATGGATTCAGAAGTATACTCAGATTAACACAGTATAGAGTCATATATTATGCTAATTGGTAGTTAATAAGAGCAATAAAAATATTGTTACCAATTGGTGCTGCTACTAAGGTTAGCAGCTACATGAGGTTTGTCATTTGGTAGTGTACTTGTTTATATATAAAAATGTCCAAGGCAATAGTGTTCTTTCTTGTCATTTCTATGTACCATATTGTGATGTGTAAACCTAAGAAAATGAATATTTATTATTTGAGGAGGTGAACTTGCAATTGAATTTGACAGTTAATATAAGTAGCTGCAGAAAAACTGTTAAAGGAGATTTAAGACAATCACGTGGAAAAAAGAAAAATGACAGTATCATGAAATGAGAACAAAGGCATAGTATTTATTTATTTATTTATTTATTCTTTTATTCATAATGAAGGCATAGCATTTAAAGATGAAATGGCCAGGGCCTGGCTGTAATCCTAGCTACTCAGGAGGCAGAAATCAGAAGGATCAAAGTTCAAAGCCAAAGCCAGCCTGGGCATATAGTTTGTGAGACCCTATCTCGAAAAAACCCAACCTGAAAAAGGGCTGGTGGAGTGGCTCAAGGTATAGGTCCTGAGTTCAGACCCCAGTACTGCAAAAAGGAAAAAAAAAGATTAGATGGCCAGGGAGAGGGAACTATCTTATAATATAATATAAATGATATATAAATTATATAATATAAACTAATTATATCAATTATATAAAGTTATATAATATAATTACAATCTAGGGAGCAATCACATGAAAGGACTAAAAGTGTGAAAATCTGAACAAGTCACTTTGTAAAGTATTAGAGATGGAGAGAGTGGGGTCTCTAACTTTGTTTTTGGAATTTCAGGGGCTGCTTGGATGGGGTTATTACTTGATAATGCTTCCATTCCGGTTTACCTATTATACGATACTTGATATATTTAGGTATGTACCCTGTATTTATGTATTAATAGCAACAGAGTAGACTTTGGAGCTGAATGAAACATGGACCAGAATAAGATTTATGCTCTAGAAATTTTGTCTTGCCAATTTGTCATCAGATTGAATTGTTCTTCCCTGTTCTCTTTTACTAAAGTATAAAGATATTTTAAATTGCTCAAGTGTAGCAGCAGATACTATAAAATGGAATTGTTCTAAATTAATCTTGCTTAATGTTTTTTAAAAATCTTAGCAATCTACCCATATTTATTGGTCTACCCACCCTCTCCCCCTACATTTGTCACCTCCATATTCATTGCCCAGTTACTTTCTATACCCTTTCTTTTCTAACCACCATTATCTTCTGATTCCACACACCTTGGAACTTTTGCCCTAAGTCTCTTCTCTCTGACTACTCACAATCCCAGCAAATTGTCCTGCTCTGAGGTTACCCACATTGCTCTAGATTTCTCCCACAATAGCCCCATCTCTCCAGACACTCTGTTCTGTGCATTTCCCTCTGTCATGGCAGCCATTAGGTTGATGACATTGGAACCATTTCCTTTATGTACCCACTTGCTTCATACCTTCACCTTTTAGCGTCCTCCATGTGTGGTTCAAAGAGCTCATCATCATTAGAAGCTACTGTGTCCATCACTAGGAATTATTGAGTGGAGCCTGACTTCCTGGCAGATCAGACTTGGGGCATCTGGTCTGGATCCATGCCTAGGCTTTATGGAAAACTAAAATGTTTATGGGCATCCAAGCCAACAGATGGAGCTAGGAATGTAATCTGTGCTTTGCATGAGGTGCAGCCTGTACCTCCCTCCAAGTGTGGGCAGCCTTTGCTCTGCTCTAGGGAACAGAATCTGAAAGTGAGGACCTAGCAGTGACAGAAGTTTGGAAACTTTTTACTTTGGCCCCTGGATTTTTGATGAGAGTGCCTATTTAATGGCTTCCTGGCTTCACCAAAGTTCTTAATGGCCACTGATGACCTGCTTAGTGTTTTTTCCATCCCTGTCTGATTTAGGAATAAATACTCAAAAACCTTTAAAGTCATTATGAAGACTGAGTTGATTTCTGTTTTAGATTGTGTTGGCCTTGGGAATATAATGTAATGAGAAACAAAAAAGTTAAAGCCTTTATTTGTCCCTAAAATTTGAACACTTAAAGAGATAATGTTAAAATAATTGATTTCAGAGAAAGTAGTCAAAATACCAATCTTTTGAAGAATTTCTTTCTACCTTGCCATGTATACAACCTCTTATATTTTGTGTTTTTATTTGCTCTAGAATGTTTGTATCAATGAATTTGGTTCACTTTACTCAGGACAAGAATTGGCTCAGGTTTTGATAAAGAAAGTGTCATAGTGTAGTTACCTTTTCTGCGCTACAAATTCTTTAAGTAAATGATTTTTGTTTGTTTTCCTAGGGAAAATATGCATGGCATGTGTTACTAATTTTAATGCAGCTTTGTTATCCAAGAAACTTGTTTAATGTTAGGTAGCACATTGGCCTCTGCCCCACTGCCTTCTTTGGCAACCCAAAGCATAAAGAAATTGTTCCATGCCAGTATGGTAGGGAGAACTCTTGAGGAATAGAAATATGGTACCATCAGGTAATGCATCTTTAGCTTTGTAGCAGCTGCTAGTACTCCATACCTACCTGTGTTTCCTAGGGTCAGGTTTATAACTTCCTCCATGGATGCCATCAACCACAAGTCATCAAGCAAAATTTTCCTGAAGCTTTAAGGACAAGTAAATCATGACTTTGCATTCAGGTTTGAAATCCCTATGCATACTTTGAATAACTTGGAAGATGAACTAAAAATTCATAATCCCAAGAGAATAGAAAGCAGAGGGAAAGGCAGTTAGGACAGCAGAAAGACATCTGTTCCAGAGCAGTACTGTCCTGTAGAACTTTCTGTGAGGATGAAAATGTTCTTTCTCTACACTGTTCACTATGGAAGCTACTGACCTCATGTGGCTGTTGAGCCCTTGAAATGTGGTAGGTGTGACTGAGGTACCAGATTTTTAATTGTACCTAATTTTATACATTTAAATTTAGAATAGCCACAAGTGGCTACTAGCTACTATTTTAGACAGTATCTGGGAGAATAGCATCTTTTTGATCTTCCTTTCCCACCCTCTAGCCCTCAATTTTTCTGCAGAAAGAAAGCACTCAGGATTTGTTTAGGCCATGTTGGAATCTATAATCCTAGTAGTTTGCATTCTTGAACAGGCAATGGACCAAAACTTGCAGCTTTTCAGCTTTTGAGCCAGACTCTCCACTCAGGTTTGATCGTCTACTCACAGATTGTTCAACCCCTTTTGTTGCCATGCCCCTGGCTGTGTTACAGGAATTTGTACAATCTGGCCCACTTCGTATGCACTATAGTAAGATGATTCATGTGATATTTATTCCTTCCTCCTCAGGTTTGCTCTTCGTTTTATACGGCCTGACCCCCGCAGCCGGGTCACTGACCCCGTTGGGGACATTGTTTCCTTTATGCAATCTTTTGAAGAGAAATATGGAAGGGCACACCCTGTCTTCTACCAGGGAACCTACAGCCAGGTCAGTGTCACAAACTGTATGGATGCCAACTTACCAATGTGATTCTGTCCTTAAAAGAAAGCATAGCCCAGCCCTGACCATGTCATTCTTTACTCAGAAACCTTACGTAGCTCTTCACTGCTTATAGAAAAAAAGACCAAACCCCCTGGGCTCTCCTTGATCTAATCCCAGCGTTCTTTTGAGAGCTATTCTGCCTAACTTGTTTCCCCATACCCTAGATTCCAGCTACACTCTTCCCTGAGTATTTTTCTACCTCGGTGCCTTTGCTTTTGTTGTTCCCTCCACCTGGAATGCTTTCCTCACATTTTGGCTAATGGGAATCTTGCCTATCATTCAAGCAGCCAATGTCACTCCCTTTTCCTAACCATTCTGATTGTTGTGCCCTATCCTGCCCTACCTTACAGTCTAAAATATTGATAAATTGAATAGGGTATAGACCATATACTCAAAGTGGCCCATCTCATTCAACCTAAGCCACAAAGACCTTTGACTGTCACCTCTCAGAGGAGGAAAACTTAGAGTTTGCTGGGTGTTAGGCATATGTAGTTTGCCAGATAAAAATAAAGAATTAACACTGTGGGCATGAATAAATAGGTGGTTCTGTTCTGGAGCCTCCAGGATTCCTGAATCTTACCTGAAGGAAGAAAAAAATGTTTACCCTTGCTGCTACTCCTTTTCCTCAAAGTCTGTCTCTCTGACTGTTGTCACCTTACTCAGTCAACATAACTCACCTACCATACGGTATTCAGGCACTGGGGTGAGAAAGAGGAACGCTTGTCATGTAGCCTCTTTGCTGTACTCATGAGGGATGGCCACCATAATCAGTTGAGGAAATACTCATTACGTGTAAGGGGTTCAGGAGTACACAAATGCACAAGATCACATGAGGGCCTTGAACACTAGCTTTGTCTTAGAAGATCTTCTAAACTCTGTTCTTTAGAATGCCTTTCGGTCCCGTGGTCCTTCAGTCCTGCGTGGTGTGTGACCTGTGATCAGCCTCATCGTGGCAGTTATTTTTTATTTACAAGAATTTTGTAGCTATGACAAATTCTCCCCTCTTTCTCCAAATGGTCACATACTTCTGTTTTTTTCTATCTTTAGGCTGTGGGAATAGCTGACTTTTCTGTGACTTACTGGGGACCTGTACTAACAACACTAAAACCTTTTCATTAAAGCTTGATAGCCTAGACTTTCTATAGGGAGAGAAATGCCAGGTGTGTGAAGGTTTCAGAAACCCAGGAATATTCTGGTATCTTGCTCACTTTTTCTTATTTCTCTTTTTGCTCATTAGTATGTAACTATGTCTGTTAGGACCCTTAGCCTAAATATAAGCACAAGCACAGTCTTTATAATAATTAGTTACCTTCTGTCTCTCACAGGCACTTAACGATGCCAAGCGGGAGCTTCGCTTTCTTTTGGTTTATCTTCATGGAGATGACCACCAGGACTCTGATGAGTTCTGTCGGTAAGTGGATGAGTCACTTTCTTTCTCTTTTCTAAACCTTTCTCCTGACAGTGTGTAGTCAGCAAGCTGTTCTTACGTTGTTTTAATCTCTTTCCACAGCAATACACTCTGTGCGCCTGAAGTTATTTCACTAATAAACACTAGGATGCTCTTCTGGGCATGTTCTACAAACAAACCTGAGGGATACAGGGGTAAGTTATGTTTCTTTTGCCTCATGTTGATGGTCAGAATTTTTTTTGAAACGGTCTGGAAAGACATGCCATGCCATGCCATGCCATTTGTTACATCACTGTTCTGTGGTAGACACAATGTTAGTTGTAATTTTTATATTATATCATTTAGTCTTGTCATCAGTCCTAAAAGGTTAGGGTTGTGTTGCCTTTATTTTATGATTTAGAAACAGTCTTGGAGTTTAAGCCATGGGCCAAAAATCACACATTCCTCAAGTTTTGGGCCAATATCAGTTCCAAAGATCAGGTCTAAAATCAGGCCCATTCTTTATAGATAACCGTTGCCAGGTACTATTTTATTTTTTAATCAGTCCTGATTAGCAGCTTGCCTTTAGTCTTAATGGGCTTTTTACTTAAGCGTTTACATCAGCAATTTTAACAGTTTCTTAAATGGTGAGTTAGTGTGAGTACCTTGAGTACTGACATGGATTCAGAAAGTTCAATTCTTTGCTGACAGTAACTCTTGGTTGGAAATAAGTAGGTTTAGAACTCACTGGAGGATATGAAGGTATCGAGTTGAAGGCAAATGCAGTCACTGTGCAGTTTCTTCTACCCTGCAGCCCCTGAGTATATGTTAGCATGTCAGGAATCGTGTCAGATCTTGAGAACCAAAGATGTACCAGGTGTTCTCCCTGCATCCTGCAATCTGAGTCTTTTACGCCTGGTTGTTTTTTAAATATCTTACAAGTTTCTGCAGCATATGTTTTGCCATTCTGATAAGGCTTTGTGGAAATTAGGGGTGAATAGGAAGAGACTACATATAATAATCATAGAAGTTTATGAAATTTCTTCTTTTACATCATAAGGAAAACATAAATGAAATTCATTACCTTAAAATTTGGGTTATTTTGGAGACCAACTTTTTCCTATCTCCTTTGAAGCAGAAAAACTACCCTTTTTAGGAGTAGGAAAAAAGAGGTCAGGTGCTGGTGGCTCACACCTGTAATTCTAGATACTCAGGAGATAGAGATTACGAGGATCGTGATTCAAAGCCATCCCATACAAACAGTTCTCAAGAATTTACCTCAAAAATATCCATCACAAAAAAGGGCTGGTGGAGGTGGCTCAAGGTATAGGCCCTGAGTTCAATCCCCTGAACTGCAAAAAAAAAAAAAAAAAAAAAGACATACGAAAATGAGGTCAGAAAGTGATTAGGTGAGAAAAAGACAGAAGGTGGTGGAAATCATTGACAGTTGCATCAGGCTGAGATTTGCAGTCAGTCCTCTTTTAGACTTGACACTCACACATGTGTACACACCTGGAGAGACTGTGCTAAGCACTGGCCAGATTCTTTATAGAATGTCAACCATTACATTGACATTATTTTTGAACTCTGCAAGCTCTCCCAGCATCATAACAACAACCACACTTCACCACAAAAGATGGTCGTAGTCTAATTAAGCACTTAGATTTAAGAACACAAACATATCACAAAGAAAAAAGATTAAGAGACTAGGAGGAAGAAAAGATAGAGGAGAAATAACACCTCTTTTCTTTCATGTTCTTTCTTATTACAGAAGGTCTGAGAGTTGATCTGTTTCATCCCCAAGTCCTGCCCTTGATCTTTTGGGTCTTTTGTCAGTCTCACAGGCTTTACGAGAGAACACATATCCATTCCTGGCCATGATTATGCTGAAGGATCGGAGAATGACCGTGGTGGGACGCCTAGAAGGCCTCATTCAACCCGATGACCTCATTAACCAATTGACATTTATTATGGATGCGAACCACACATATCTGGTGTCAGAACGCCTGGAAAGGTACTGGGGAGTTCCTTTCTGAAAGGAAGAGACCAGTTGTGTTTTTGGAGGACTGACCTGGGGCTCCATAAACCTGGTTTCTTTCCCTGTCTTAGGCAACTTTAAAAGACCTTGCCCATTTGATGTCAAGATATTTGCATGTTTTAACTTAAATTATTCTTCATCAGATCATTTGCTCTTAGATATGTGAATCTAAGGTAAGGCTCCATGCTCAAGAATGGGTATTTTATTATTTATAGTAGTTGAACATCATAGAACTTAAATGTAAAAATGTGTACATTAATTATAGAGAAGCTGAAAAATACAGAAAAGAGCCAAGTGTGGTGGCACACACCAGTAATCCCAGTACTCAGAAGTTTAAGATAGAGGATTGTGAGTTTGAGGCCAGCCTTGGCTACAAAGTGAGACACTGTCTCAAAAAAAAAAAAAAAGCCGGGCACCAATGGCTCATGCATGTAATCCTAGTTGCTCAGGAGGATCACTGTTCGAAGCCAGCCCTGGGCAAAGAGTTCGAGAGACTATTTCTAAAATACCTAATGCAAAATAGAGCTGGTGGAGTCGCTCAAGTAGTAGAGCACCTGTCTAGCAAGTGTGAGGCCCTGAGTTCAATCCCCAGTACTGCCAAAAGAAAGAAAGAAAGAAAAGAAGGCTAAACCAAGTGCAATGATTCACATCTGTAATCCCAGCAACTCCAGAGGTGGAGATTGGGAGCATCAAGGTTCAAGGCCAACCAGAGCAAAAAATTAGTGAGACCCCCCCTCCATCTCAACAAACAAGCCTGACATGGTAGTATGCATCTATGATCCCATCTACACAGGAGGCTGTTGGTATGAGGATCATAGTCTGAGATCTGCCTAGAAAAAACAAGACCTACCTGAAAAATAACTAAAGCAAAAAGGGGCTGGGGGCATGGTAGAGTACCTGCCTAGCAAGCACAAGGTCCTTAGTTCAAACCCTAGTACTATCAAAAAAAGGGAGGGAGGAAGAAAAGAGGAAGGAAGGAAGACAACAAAAGAAAACACCACCAAAAAGTGCCAAGAAATTATCAGGGTAGGGGTACAATTAAATGGTAGTGCTCCTGCCTAACAAGCGCCAGGCCTTGAGTTCAAACATCAGAACTGCCAAAAAATTTTTTTTAATCACTCATATTCCTACCACCACTTTTAATATTCTGGTATATTTCCTTTTAATTTTATGGATACATATACAGATCCCTATATACATACTCTGAAGATAGTAAGAGAGAAGCAAGCTCCGATCTATTTCTTCTGCCATCACATAGCACACCAGATGTGTGGAGGTTGCATTGCCCCACATCACCAATGAGCTGGTGTTCTCCAGCTCAGTTCAGTTTTGACACTTGCTACTTGGAGGTAGCATCAGATCCCACAGGTTGAAGGCTTACAGTCACCAAGACTGTCATCTACTCATTTCCCTGAATTGTTTTGTTTGTGTTTTTGGAACCTTAAATCTGGGTTCCCATACCCCCACCTCGGTTAAATTTGTTCCTGTGGCTCTTAGAACTCAGGGAAGCATTCAGTTTACCAGTTCATTATAATGGATGCTCCAAAAGATGCTGATGAAGAGACCCACAGAGTGAGACCTCCAGGCTTTCTGCTGTCTGGAAGCTCCTAAGACTCTTTTCTTCTGAGTTTTATATACATATATATCATGCTATAACACATACACTTTTTTTGTAAAATTGAGATATTGCTGTTTTCAGTATATACTACCTCATCATCTTTTTTTTTTTTTTTTTTTGCAGTTGTGGGGATTGAACCCAGGGCTTCTCATATGCTAGAAAAGCACTCTGCCTGTGAGCAACATCCCTGGCCCCCTCGTCATTAAAAACTGTTTCATAGCTTTCTGCTTCTTAAATATACTATAATTTAAAACCCCTCTTGTTAGATTTTCAGTGTTTTCTCAGTTTTACTACTATAAACAACATATAACAAGATAATTTTTTACAATTTGTAATTATTTCCTTAGATTAAAATTTAAAATTCTGGGGTTGGAGGTGTGGCTCAAGCAGTAGAATATCTGCCTAGCAAGGCCAAAGCCCTGAGTTCAAACCATGGTACTGCAAAAAAAATTTTAATTCCCAGAAGTGCAGTTTCTGGGTCAAACAATGTAGGTGTGTGCTTTTGATTTATAATACCAAGATCTCCCTAAAAAAGTAATATGAACTTAGATTTATGGGAAGCTTTTAATAACATGAGAAGATGTTTATTATGTTACAAAAATGCAGAATAAGAACTATAAATATAGTATAATTTTACCATATAAGGTATAGAAGGGCTCAGGAGTGTAGCTCAGTAGTGATAGTGTTTGCCTAGCATGCACCAGGCCCTTGGTTTGATTCCCAACAGCACAAAAGAAAAAAGTATAGAGAGATTGGGCACAGTAGTTCACACCTATTATAATTCCAGTTACTCAAGAGGTAGAGATCACGAGGTTCATGATTCGAAGCCATCCTGGGCAAAAATCTTAACTAGTAAGCTGGTGTAGTGTGCATGCCTGTCATCCCAACTATGTGGGAGCTTAAATAGGAGAGTCACGGTCCAGTCTGACCCAAGCAAAAAGGACTAGAAGCATGGCTGAAGTGGCAGAGCACCTGTCTAGCATATTCAAGATCCTGAAATCAAACTCCAGTGCTTTTAAAACTTTTTAAAATTTTTTTAATTAATTTTTTTTTTGCAGTCAAATCTAGACTTTTTAATTTTTTTATTTTATTTTATTTTTTTTAATACCTTTTTTTTTCTTTTATTCATATATGCATACAATGTTTGGGTCATTTCTCCCCCCTTCCCCCCCCTCCCTTATCTCCCCCGCCCCTCTCCCTCTCACCTCCTCACTACCCAGCAGAAACTATTTTGCCCTTATCTCTAATTACGTTGAAGAGAGAGTATAAGCAATAATAAGATGGACCAAGGGTTTTTGCTAGTTGAGATAAGGATAGCTATACAGGCAGTATAGCTATCCTGTCAGAGGCCAATAGGAGAAGGGGACCAGGAACTAGAGAAAAGGTTAGTTCGAGAAGAATTAATTTAGAATGTAATACATAGTACAGGAAAGCAATTCGAGTCAACTCCCTTGTTTCTGCCGGGTAGCGAGGGGGTTGGGGGGAGAGGGAGGAGGTGGGGGAGGGGTGGGAAGAGAGGGGAGAAATGACCCAAACATTGTATGCACATATGAACTTTTAAAAATAAATAAATTTAAAAAAAGAAAAAATAAAGTATCTGCATTAGTTTCTCTGTATTGAGGGCAACAAATGCTATCTAGTTTTTTGGGTGTCTTACCTATCCTCATATCTCCCTTGTGTGCTCTCACTTTTATCATGTGATCAAAGTCCAATCCCCTTGTTGTGTTTGCCCTTGATCTAATGTCCACATATGAGGGAGAACATACAATTTTTGGTCTTTTGGGCCAGGCTAACCCCACTCAGAATGATGTTCTCCAGTTCCATCCATTTACTTGCGAATGATAAGATTTCATTCTTCTTCATGGCTGCATAAAATTCCATGTGTATAAATACCACATTTTCTTAATCCATTCGTCAGTAGTGGGGCATCTTGGCTGTTTCCATAACTTGGCTATTGTGAATAGTGCTGCAATAAACATGGGTGTGCAGGTGCCTCTGGAGTAACCTGTGTCACATTTTTTTGGGTATATCTCCCAAGAGTGGTATTGCTGGATCATATGGTAGATCTATGTTTAGATTTTTAAGAAGCCTCCAGTTTTTTTTTCCAGAGTGGTCGTACTAGTTTGCATTCCCACCAGCAGTGTAAAAGGGTTCCTTTTTCCCACATCCTTGCCATTAGTGGTGTTGCTAATGATGGTTATTCTAACAGGGGTGAGGTGGAATCTTAGTGTGGTTTTAATTTGCATTTCCTTTATTGCTAGAGATGGTGAGCATTTTTTCATGTGTTTTTTTGGCCATTTGAATTTCTTCTTTTGAGAAAGTTCTGTTTAGTTCACTTGCCCATTTCTTTATTGGTTCATTAATTTTGGGAGAATTTACCAAACTTTTTTTTTAAATTAAAAAGTATAGCAGAGGAACTCTCTGGAGTGTTGGAAATGTTCTGCCTGGACTGAAGTGGTGATTAATGGTTACATTTACCAAAATTCATTGAACTGTACATCTAAGTTCTGTGCATTTCACTGCATGTAAATTTTTAAAGAAAGTATAAAGCAGTGTTTATGTGTTCAACCTTTTTGATTACCTAAATACTGTTCTTAGAGAATGTAAAATTTCACTGGAGAAAAAAATAGGATATTCACCAAAAGGTATGGTATTTTATCTGTGGTTATTGGAATTTTGAATAACGTGTTTTATACATTTTTCAAACTTGTATATGTGTGAGAGTTTTGGATATTTGGGGTTTTTTGTTTTGTAATACAGTTTTGTGAGGCAGGGTCTCAAAATGTAGCCAAAGCTGGCTAGGAACTCTGCATTCTCTGTCTCAGCCCTCCAAGTCCTGGGCTTGGGGTTACAGGCGTGTACCATCACCCCCAAATTTATGAAAGCAGCAGCATGTAGAAAAGTGCAATGGCTCAAAAGGGTATTTGCCCATAAAATACAATGTTGATGATCACTTCATAATAGTAATACTGTATTTTGTAAAAAGATACTGTTTTATTTTTAAGGTTATAGGGAGAGGAAAGCTTGCCATTTCTGTTTTTGCCAGCATAAACGAAGGAAAGAGGTAGCTCATTCATACTTTCTATTCCGCTTTTGGAATTCCCTAGTGGATCAACGTATTTATCTTGCCCCACAGTTTCAATGCAAGAAACAATAGGGCCGGGTGCTGGTGGCTCACACCTGTAATTCGGGAGGCAGAGATCAGGAGGATCGTGGTTCCAAGCCAGCTCAGGCAGATAGTTCAAGAGACCCCATCTCAAAAATACCCAGCACAGAAAAGGGCTGGTGGAATGATCTGCCTCGAAAGCCTGAGGCCTTTGAGTTCAAACTCCAGTACCACCAAGCGAAAAAAAAAAAAAAGGGCTGGGGATATGACTTAGTGGTATCATGCTTGCCTAGCAAGGCCCTGGGCTCCTTCCACAGCACCACACACAAAAAGAAAGCACAGAGCTTTGTGAAATTGCTGTTTTTGTTTTTATGCTTTTGACCTGCCCACAGGGAAGAGAGGAACCAGACGCAAGTGCTGAGACAACAACAGGATGAGGCCTACCTGGCCTCTCTCAGAGCTGACCAGGAGAAAGAAAGGAAGAAGCGAGAGGAAAGGGAGCGGAAGAGGCGAAAGGAAGAGGAGGTGCAACAACAGAAATTGGCAGAGGAGAGGCGGCGGCAGGTGATGACCGTACCTGTGTTCCCCATGAGTCACAACTGCTTATGTTTGAAAGAAAAATCTCTTGGGGTTGTGGATGATTTAAATTTTTCTTGCCTTACTCCTTCTTACTGATAAGGTATTTCATTTGTGATCTTGTTTCATTACCACTTGCTGATAGCCAGTGTCTTTATTCCCCTTTCCTCAATAGTAAAATACCTGAGCACAGTAAATAATATGTGTGATGCAATAGAGTTGGTTTTTGTTTCTTACCAATGGATTTTTTAATGTAATTAGTCATTAATTTTTCTTCTTCATGCACAGCAAACCTACATTAGTATTCCTGTATGCTGTTTCCCTATTTGAGCTGTAGCATCACCTTTGCTTTGTGTCTCTACAGAACTTACAGGAGGAAAAGGAAAGGAAGATGGAGTGCCTGCCTCCGGAGCCTTCGCCTGATGACCCTGAAAGCGTCAAGATCATTTTCAAATTACCCAATGATTCTCGAGTAGAAAGACGATTCCACTTTTCACAGTCACTAACAGTAAGGATCACCTAAGTGGGGATGAAGTATTTGTAGCATCTGGGCTGTAGGTTTAGAAGCTTTTACAGACTCTCAGTGTTGTTAGTGAATCTGCTGCTCTGATGAACAGGAGATTCTAAGAGATGTTTGTGAACACCAGGAAGAAGATACAATGAACTTCAAGGTTTTCTTTCATCATCATGTTTGCTCTGCTGAGAAAAAATATCCCTTACAAAGAACTGCCACAGAAGCATTGTGTGTTTGAGGCTGGGAGGCTCTGCTACATTCGCTTCTGGCCTTGGCGTCAGAATCCCTTGATCTGTAGGAGAAACTCTCTCAGTGACCATGTCTGAATTTGAGTGCACATGCAGTTGTGATTGGTTTTTCTCTCCTCTCTATCCACTTAGCACAGAAGCTCCACTTTCTGAGGCTATTCCTAGATTTGGGTTCCATAGACCACTTTGTCATTTACATAGGCAAGTATTTAAAAGCACAAACTCTTTAAGAGTCTCACAGAATGAAGACCAAATTCTTATCGTCCAGGGTTGCTAGATGAGTTTTCTTGGTCAGTTAAGCTCTAAGGCCTCAATCTCTTCACCTCTAAAATTGGTGTAAAGTCGGCACTTCTTAATGGGATTGTTGTTAAGTTCATATAAAGTGTTCAACATTGTGCCTGGCTCACATTAAGCACTCAAATACAATTTTTGGTATTTATAACCAAAAGAAACTTTCTGTGTATATCGAGAGTTGGTATGTTGCCTTTCCAAATGTGCAGGTATACCAGATTCTAGTCTCCCTGATCCTTGAAATAATGAAAAATAAACATCAGGGTGGAGGCATGGTATAGTGCTAGAGCACCTGCCTAGCAAGCATGAAGCCCAGAGTTCAGACCTTAGTACTGCAAGAGTAAATAAGCAAAGGAAACAGCAGAGCCTGTACTTGTAGTTGCTTCTCCTCGTTTAATTAGAGAACATTGGCCATGTTACAGAATCTGGTTTTATCAAGCCTCAGATTTATGGAAATGTAACCTGCTCTTTAATAGCTTTAAACTGAACACATGTTGTGTTCTGAGCTAGACATGGAATTTTACAAAAGAGTGAGATATGGTTTTGGAATTCACAGAGAGCTTTCTTGTTAGTAGGGAATATAAAAAGAACTACCACAGAATAAAATTTATGAGGCATCCTGATGAGATAAAAGCAAATAGCTTCCCTATTTTATTGTTTAAATCTCATTCATGTATTTATTTATATTGAGGGAAGTGCTCAACTGTCTAACTTTGTTTTTTTGTTGTGGTGCCGATACTGAACTCAGGGCCTCCTGCACACTAGGCAAGCGCTCTACCACTAAACTACATCTCCAGTCCTTGGATTTTTAAATTAGAATAATATAAACATGCCCCACAGAGAATCTGTGTGTGGTAGCTCTTCACTAAATGTCGACTCCCCTGACTCCCTAACTACAGGTTGCATGTGGATTTCCCTTGCTCATCCCCTGGCATTTTCACCATTTATACGTCTGAACTTTATGTCTGCCCCCAAAACCTCTCCTAGGTAAAGCTGTAGGTGACAAATCAAAATTTTCTGAGAGTTTTGAAGGGAAAAAATCTGTTAGAATTGTGTAACAGATTAGAAATAGGCTTATGGCCAAAGGGAAATGAACCATTTCTTAACTGCTTAATCTTAAAAAGTCTTTTAAATAGGCTCCTTAGTAAAAGTTATTAAAAAAAAGAAAGAAAGAAAAGAGGAAAAAGGAAAAAAATTTGACAGAATTGCATATGGTGGTCAGCTCTTGATAGTGGTTAAAATGCTAAAATGAAAAAGAATAAACTACAGAAAAAAATCTCCAGTTACCTGAGCAGGTAGAAAAATGAAGCTTACTTTTTTTTTTTTTTTTTTTTAGAGGGGGGAGTACTGGTATTTGAACACAGGGATTTGGCACTTGCTAGACAGGTCCTCTACCACTAAGCCACACTCACAGCCCTTCTTTTAAATTTTCTAAAAGAGATGCAATTTAACCTGGGCATCAGTGGCTTATTCCTATAATCCTAGCTACTCAGGAGGATCACAGTTTGAAGCCAACCCTGGAAAATACTTCGAGAGACCCTATCTCAAAAAAACCCATCACAAAAAAGGGCTGGTGGAGTGGCTTAAGGTGTAGGCCCTGAGTTCAAGCCTCAGTACTACATAAAAAAGAGAGAGATACAATTTCTCTTGGCCCAGAACTCATTTTTCTGTTTGTTACAAATGAAAAAGGACCTTTGGTGGTAATGTGATGTTCCCAATAGTGTCAGCTCTTTGTCAGTGGCAAACAAAAAAGCATGTTTGTAAGTTTGGTATTTTCAAACAATGATTGAAAAGAAAATAGTATTGTTTCACCTTCATAGAAACTGTGTTGGGTTCATACCAAGAATACTTGTTGCAAGTCTGACTGATGCAGCTCAAGAAAAGAGAAAGAGGGCTGGGGATGTAGCTCAGTGGTAGAGTGCTTGCCTAGCAAATGTGATGTACCCAAATCCCAGTACCGGCAGAAAAGAAAAGAGAAAGAATGGTGGAAAGATGACAAAAAATCCAAGAAGAAATGATTGACGTTGATAAACTAAAATTTGAGAAGTTTATAAACTCATGAATTGGGGTTGGGCTCATGGCTCACAACTATAATCCCAGCTACTCAGGAGGATTGCAGTTCAAGGCCAGGCCAGGCCAAAAGTTAATAGGACCCCATCTCAACAAATAAGCCAGGCATGGTGGCATGTACTTAAAATCCCAGCTCCACAGGAGGTTGTAGGTAGGAGGATCTCAGTCTAAGGTTGGCCTACAGCAAAAATGTGAGACCCTATCTGAAAAATAATTAAAACATAAAGGGCTGGCAGCATGACTTAAGTGGTAAGCCACCTACCTATCTAATAAGCATGAAGCCCAGAGTTCAAACCCCAGTAAATGGGGATAAAAAGAGAAGTCATGAATATATTAGATAAGGGAACATGAATTCACTTCTAAAATTTGGGAATTATATCCTCTTGATACTGAAAGTTGAGTTTAAGACAAATGAAAGGAGGGAGTTATGATAAAAGTAATATATTCATAGGTGAAATGCCATGGCGAAACCCCTTTGAACAGTGAATATACACTGGAATAACAGGTTCCCAACAGGTTCTGTTGGGAGGGGGCAAGGTAAGGGGGGTGAGTAAATTGATGTACTTTATTCATATGAAGATAGAACATTGAAACCTGTCAGTCACTTTAAGTAACGGGAGGAGGATGAGGGAGAATGATGGTGGGGATGAACAACAAAAACCCAAATGAAAGAAAGACTGCAGGGAATCCATCAAGAAATTAATTGTTCCAAGAGAAAGAACAAAAAGAAAATAGAGGGCTGGCAGAGTGGCTCAAGTGGTAGAGCACCTGTATAGCAAGTGTGAGACTCTGAGTTCAGACGCCAGTACCACCAAAAAAATAGAAATAGACTCTTCCCCCAAATTAGAAAGTATAGGTAGAATGGTGGAATTGACCTCTGAAGTTTAAGGTGCCCTTCACAACACATCCCTGAGAGTCTGCTAGAAACAGAATGCATGGTGAAGGACAGGGAGTGCCTCTTCTTAATGGGGGCATTAACAGACGGGTTTTGCACACATTTTAAGGTGTGGCAAGGTGAGTTTAGATGTTGCCTCACTTCTCACTGAGAATTTAGCTGTACTTTTTCAGAACCAGAGCCCAATGAGGAGGAGAGCTTTCTTCCCACAGAGGGGAGGTCCATGGAAGGGTGTCAGATCTTGATACGGTGAGAGTGTGTCTACATGTTGGAGCAGCCCAGTGCAGACATATCCAAGCCAAAATGGCCCAGGGTGGTGTGTCAAAGCCAGAACAGAGTGAGGAGGGTATATGTAAGGTAGCAAGGATTTACCTGGGAGCAGGGAATGAAGTCATGTTTTTTTATAAACACCCACACATGCGTACACTAGCTGTATACATGCACGTATTTTCCATAGAGAGTGCCTAGGGCTCCTAGTCACAATAAGTATGCCCAGCACAAAGGGCTTGGCTTTTGGAAACCATTGTCCATTGTGAAGAACCAGACAGGACTGGGAATGTAGTTCAGTAGTACAGCACTTGCTTAGCGTGCATGAGGCCCTGTATCCCATTCCCAGCACCGTAGGGACTAAAAAAAAAAGAAGAACAAGATTGCCCTGGAAAAAAATGACTGATTCTAGGGCTGGGGCAGGGAAAATAAAAGATCAGCCTGGACTACCTTGTGCAAAAAGCAAAGAATTGAGAAGTGTCAGAAAGACATAGAAGCCAGCTACTAGGTCATACTCCAGCCAGAATAATATGAACTTTAAAATAAATAATGATTGTAACCGATTGAATAAAATGTGTTCAGATTTATTTAAGATAAATCTAAAAGTTCAAGGAGCATAGTATCTTCATAGTTTCAGAGTACTTCCCCGTAAAGTACTTACAATTAAGAACAAGAAAAACCTGCAGTGGAGTACCAGGGCAGGTGATATCTGAATCAGGTGATCAAAGTGAACATCATAGGTAACAACAAACTGAAAGTATGCTCCACCTGAGGAGTGCAGCATCATTCCTGAAATCCTCCTACCAAAGAACCCAAGTCTTACTGTGAGTAAACAACTGACAAGCAAATGAAGAGACATTCTACAAAATAACTGACCAGTCATCTGTGAAAGTGTCAAGATCATGAAAGTTATGGAAATGCAGGATTTGTTTCACACTAAAAGAGAAGATTCCGACATGACAAATAAATGTAATGCAATTCTCAACTGGTTCATTTTCCTGAAAGGGCAAACCGGCACAACTTGAATGGGACCCACATAGTAGTGCAGTACAGTGGGCCCTCTGTAGCATGAATTTCACATCCATGGATCCAACCAACTGCAGATCAGAAATACGGGGCGGGGGAAAGGCATCATTATTTCTTATCATTATTCCCTAAGTAATGCACTGTCGTAGTTTTTGTAGCATTTGCATTCTGTAGGTATGATGGAATGTAAACGATGCGGAGGGTATGAGAGGATGTGTGTAGGTTAAGGAACTACTACACCATTTTCCATGAGGGGCTCAAGGATTTGCTATACGAAGTGGGGGGGGGGTTTGAATCAACCCACAGATGCTGAGGGATAACCATGTTTGTTATGTAAATAATTCATCAGTTGAATTTCCCAATATGGAGGCTGTGTTGTTGTTAAGTAAAGATCATCTTGTTTAAAACACCTTCAGGTGTGCTGGGGTGATGAGATGCCAGATTGGCAGCTCACTTACAGCTGATTCAAAGGAAATACTTCTATGTCCTATTCTTTCAGCTTTTCTACAACTGATTATTTCTTAGAAAAAATATTTAGCAGTATATCAGACAGAGTGACAAAGAAACAGGTGTTTTACAGCAGAAGAAGACTAGTGTTAAGTTTGTATAATTTCTTTAAAAGGGCTGCCCAAACATATGTCCTGGGAAGTGGAAACATCTGAAGTAGAATTCCAGTGTAATGTGACCATTTCATAGCTCAGTCATCCTGGGGAGAACAGGGAGACATTTGACTTCATAGTGGTATGTGTGTCTTTTTTTCACTGCCATTCTTTTTCTGTGTGACCTCTGCAGGTAATCCACGACTTCTTATTCTCCTTGAAGGAAAGCCCTGAAAAATTTCAGATTGAAGCCAATTTTCCAAGGCGGGTACTGCCCTGTGTCCCTTCAGAGGAATGGCCCAACCCCCCAACGCTGCAGGAGGCGGGACTCAGCCACACAGAAGTTCTCTTTGTTCAGGACCTAACAGACGAATGACACTTTTTCTCCCTCTCCCCTCCCACCCAATCCCTAAAACAAATGGAAAAACAGAAACAGAAAAAAAAAGAGAAATTCATATTATTATTATTATAATACAATATTTTTTTTAAAAGACTGCTGCATCCTAAGGAAGGATCAGAAACCATGCTGCCTGCAAGTCACAACCTGTGTGCACATGAGGTTAGCGATGACCGTGCTCATCAGCAAGCTCACACGTCCCTACAGCCTCTGTACCACGTACCTTCCAGCAAATGGAGTCTCCTCATCTTCACCCTGTCCTTTGTCCCAGCCTTTCCTATTGTGGGAAGGGGACATTCCCACTAGTTCTCATTTATTCTTGCTTTTACGGAAAATAAAAGTGAACAACCTCCATCAACCAGCTACAGCAGCATCTCCTCAGGACTTGCTTCTCCCATCTCTGGAAAGAGGGGAAGAGAAAGTTCAGAACGGAGATGTTCCTTGAACTGCCCACAGTTTATGAATTACTTTGTTTCTGTTGCTTTGTGATGACCAAAGGAATGAGACTGACATAGGTGTATTTCTTGTCCTTAACTTTATTTGATAAAGAGCCAATTCTTAAACCCATGAGTTCATGCCCTGGGCTCCTTAGCCCACACGAGTATAATAAAGGCGCCCTGGGCTGTTTTGTGCTTATTTTTTCCATTGCCCCTCTTCTGTCCCCAGAGAGGTCATTCATGTTGGTCCAACTCTTGCTGTCCTTTTCAGCCACCTTTGCACTGCACTTAGAGCAGTGGGAGGAAATCTGGGTTTATAGCCCTACAAAGGCAGTGTGTACGCAGATTCTACCCTTGAATATGGTGTGTACTCATCTTCACACACAGTTGCAGCTTTCCCTTGGAATCTGGACCAGGTGGTTAAGGGGTCTGAACCAAAGGACAGCAGCTCTTCATTCCTCCTTTGACCTGTGTGTGCTGCTCCCTCCCCAGCTTTCCTGAATTGCTAAGTTTGGTGCCTTTCCAAAGGGCAAGCAGGACCTGTCTCACTGGAAGTGTGAAGTGTTTTAAGGCTAGGAAGAAAAACATGACAGGACTCCCAGTTTGCATAAGGTGTTGGAAGGTATGTTTTACTTTCTGATGAGATTACCTGCAGTGGCAGTTTTTATCCTCCCTCTGTGACTATGTTGAAGTAACAGGGTTGTTTATACCTGGATGTCTTGTCTGTAGTTGAGTTTGTGATAATGGGTACATGGTTTGGCTGCATTTTAAGAGAAACCATTGTGCACTGACAAATATTCCAAAGTGCTTGATAGCTAGACTGTGTGGGTTTGTACCACTGCCACCCTCTGAAGTTGCTGTAGTTGTTAGCACACTGTGTGGGTAGAGGATTCAGGTCAGGATAAAACATTACTTGCTAGATTTATCATCTCCACAGTTTTCTCTCTTGCTCAACCTAAGGACCACTGTTTTCAATAGCAGTAATAACTTAGCTTTGCTGCTCTGTCAGCTCTCTCTTGGAATAAGTGCCATGGGACCAAGGGGGGCACCTCACAGATATCTCCTGGGAATTTTCCAGTGACCTTAGCACAGGGTCTAAAACGTCTCTTAAAAAAAGTTAGTTCTGTTCCTGGCTGCTTATGGTTCTTCCACTTGGTTTCCTGCTGTTCCAAGGGTTTCCTGCTGTTCCAAGGCCAGGTGAGTGGGAAACCACTTGCTGACTGCTGTCATAAAATGGGTCTAGAGTGGACAGCAGGTAAAACATGTTCTCCAGTCATCCTACATGAAGTCTGCTGCTCAGTGGCAACCCCTTCCTGATTGCAGTTCACAGCTGTTGTCCTGGCAGCTCACAGGAGGGTCTTCAGGACTTTGATTAGGCTGAATGTGCTGTGTATCTTGCCTACACCTTAGGGAAGCTGCGAATTTTCCCCCTTTAATAACTTAATCTCATCTTAATAGTGTGCACTTTATGCTTCTTGCCTTTTGGTAATTTCAGCAAAAGATGTCGGATGCCAGAGTATTAAGGGTCCTCTCTGTCAGTTAGGCTCCTCTCTGTCTGTTAGGACACCTGCCCACTTTCTGGAAGCTTTAGGAGGCTTCAGCAGAAGCACACACCCCTGTCTACTCCCTTTTGAAACAGTTCTGCTTTACTTAGACCCCCGTGCCTGTCGTCTTGCTGCCCTAGTGCTGCTGCCTGGGTGCCATTTCCCTTACTCCTAGGTGAAATTTGGGCTGCACGTTTGTCACTTAATGCCAGTACAATCTATGTTATTCCCAAGGACCTCTGGGAGCTCGATGGGACCTGCAGGGAGAAGACAGAAGTGGTCATCTGCAAGCATTTGCTCTTGTTCCAAATCACCTCTGGAATATTTCAGCTATTGTTTCCGAATAACAAGTCATCAGCTGAGCAAAAACACTTGTTTCAAGTTTTGTTTCACACATTCAAGACTGAAGTTGTAAATTCAGCTGAATAACCATGGGAAATGACACCCAACTGGGTTCTGTCAGTTTTGCAGCCTTGGTGGGCCATTCTGGTCTTACCTTCCTTCCATGTCTGCAGAATTTCCTTCAGCAAATATTTCTTTCTCTTTGCTTACCTCCACCATGAGATTCAGAGAACAGATGGCAGAAGGAGGATATCTGTCTCTTTAAAAAACAAAACAAAAAGAACCTAGAATCTTCAACTGAGCAGTTATTACGAAAATTGCTACTGGTGCCAAGGCCAAGAAAAGAGTTTCAGAAAATGAGGGGTGAGAGCCCCCAGAATGCAAAACCAGGGGAGTATTGCCGCCTGGTGCTTCAACAAGGAGCTCCACATTACAACTGTTTTTTTGTTTTTATTTTATTTTTTTAGGAGTGAGAGGAATGCAGCAACGGGAAATCCATCCAGAAAGGATGCAGTGGCCCAACTTGAACTGCACCTGAATAGTTAACGTGATAATAATTTCCTGAAGAAATCTAGTGTACTTTAAATTTTTTTCATAAAGGTTTACATTGTATTGTAGGTTAACATTAAATGTTTTATAACAAAAATTTTATAATCAGCTGTGGGTTTTTCTGTCCAGAAGTGTGACACATATTTTTCTATGTGAAGGGAAGTCTGATGAAAAACAGAAGAAACTAGGCATTGTGTCACTGAAAGCTAGGAGTTAAAATGGATCTCATGTATGTATTGCATCCCTATGAGAAGTAACAGCTTAGGTGGAGTGGTGTAGCAGGAAGAGCAAGCATGTCTAGGATTAAACGCATTTCAACTGTCATGTGTCAGTTCTGCCACCTTAGTGAGTTCTTTAGCAGTCTTGAGTTTTAGTTTCCCCAACTGTGAGGCTAACGCCATCTGCAAGTAAGATAAGTTTGAATAGTAAATCAAATGTATATGAAATACCTGACCCAAAGTAGATGTCATCAAGTGTTTGTTCCCCTTCTCCTATGGGAGTGTAGTTTGAAGTAATATTTTCTTGAAATAGTGCTGGGAAAGGAAGACTCCCTTCAGCTCTGATTCTGGCTATTGGGATTCACTTCCTTGGGGTATTTTTGGTCCTGTTTTGAGCCTCAGCTTTTCTTCCTCACTCTTTCCTGGAAATAGCTCATTCCTGAGATTGAGCTCAGAAGGTGACAAGAGTTATGAGTCTTGGCACCTTCAGTTTATCCTAAAAAGTGGGGCCTCCATTCTTTCAGTGGACATGTTAAGTGTAAACCAGGACCACTGCTCAATATAGACTAGATTGGAAAGGTTTATTCACCTAAGGTCAGAATGTTGGAAAACTATCTGGATTAATGAATAAGACTCAGGAGTCAGTGAGCAAGGCACAGTTTTACTTGTGTAAAGGGGTGTGCAACCAACAATGGTCTGATAAGCACACCAAGTGAGATATCCACTTGGTGCAACACTGCCCCCTTCTATTGGTAGGAGTCAGGATTCACAGTCTTTCTCAGTTGACTAGATGAGGTAAAGGGCAAGGTTAACATTTAATATCCTGGGAAGCCTCAAGAAAGCATAATGAGCTGCTGCTTTAACGTGGATTTACCTGAGCTGAGTATATAATTCTAATTCTTTGAAGGAAAAGACAAGTTATCCGCCACAAGAAGCTACTAAAAGTGAATTATAATTTATTGTAAAACTTGCATATAAAATTTTGGCTACAGATTAATAGTCAAGGCGAGCTTAAAATCGTGCAAGCGGTTTTCAGTCATAGCTGTGGCCTGGGTTTTCAACATGTGACCTTAGCTCTTTAGGCCAGAGTTTGAGCAGCTGTAAAACAGGACTGAATGAATTGCTGTTGCCCAGTGCAGGCACACAGTAGGTGTTTGGTAATAATACCTCCTGTTCCTGGTTTCAGAAGTGTATGGTTACTCATACTAAAGATTGACCTTATGGGGCTGGCTGAGTAGCTCAAATTGTAAATGCGCCTGCCTAACAAGTGTGAGGCCCTGAGTAGGACACTTGCCTAGTATGCACGAGGCCCTCCGTTCCATTCCCAGCACTGAAAGGAAAAAAAAAACAGATGTAGATAAAGGAAGGAGATTGTGGAGTGAAGTTTAGGCTTTGTTGGCAGGCAGACTATCTCAGGCATTGGGATTGGGACTCTGTGTACTTTTACCCAGAATGGGTTTCAAGCCCCCAGAGTCCTTCCTCACACCTGTGAGCTCAACTACCCCACTTCCTGAGCCTCTTAGAGCCCTAGTCCTTCCCATCTGACCCTCTTGCTAACTCTCAGAATGATGCCCCAAAACTCCCTGTTCCCCCTTAATGTTGAAACCTGATTTTCCTTTGAAAATGCCACTTAAAAAAAACCTTGTAAGTAGAAGCCACTCATTTTCCTATGAATCTCTACACCAAGAAGCAGGATCTGTCTTCTGTCACTTTGCTGCCTGGTCCTGAGGCACGTGCCATCTATCTATCTGCACTGCTTTACCGGTGCTGGCTGCTACCAGCCACTCTCCAGGTGTTGCAGCTGATAGACTTACCTCCACCAGGCCCAGATGACTGGCGCTGTATGTGTGGATGCCCTGAAATCTGCTCTGACCATTTGTGTAGCAGCTGAGTATGGTGGAAAGAGATTTTGCTTGCCAAGTACTATCTAGGCAAGTTATTCACCTCAGTGCCTCTTTCCTCTTCTATAATTATTTCAGTAGAATATATCCTTGCAAAACTGAGGTGCTGTTTAAATGAGCCAGTGTGTGTGAAGTGCCTGGCGTTGGGTCCTCCATGCTCAGTAAATAGTGTCACTTGTGCCAACAGCCCTTCTCCCACCAGCGCCATGCTATCTCTGTAACTGCCTTCCTCTGGACCTGACACCAGTCCCTCTGATGGCATATGGCAGAGCAAACTGGGAAGACTGTGGGTAATAGCACTCATCCCTTGAGTCCAGGTCTGGAAAACCTCCCATGGCTTTCTGCTGCATAGGAAGTGTCTTAAATCCAAGCCTGCCTGTGTCCTCCCCACTCAAAGCCCATTAACACAACAGCCTGCCTCCTGAGAAAAGTTGAGCTCTTGTCAGAGGACTTTCTCATCTTTTTTTCACCTCAAAAGTGTTTTTTAGGCTAGGCGCCATGGCTCAGGCCTATAATCCTAGCTACTTGGGAATGTATATTGGGAGAATCAAGGTGTCAGTTCAGCTGGGACAAAAAGTTCACCAGATTCCATCTTAACAAATAAAAGCTGGGTGTGGTGATGCATACCTGCTATCCCAGCTATAT